ACGCTTGATAAATCAGTCACTAAGTATTTATTAAGTGCCTGCTATGTGCCAGGCGCTGTGATAAGCACTGGGTTGGTAAAAAAGAGGCAGAAGACAGTCCCTGTCCCATTAGACTTAAGGGAGTGTATATAGCAGGGAGTAAAATGTAAGAAGATTGGAAAGATAGAAGGGGGGCTAGGTTTTGAATCCATACAGAGGATTTTGTATTTGATCTTGGAGGTGATAGGGAATTTGTATATGTTTGTGTGTCTTCCTGTGCCACTCCAGCTTTGACTATTTTCATCTTTTCCCCTCTGTGATAGTTTGCTTGGGTTTGTAAAGTAAAACTTCAGTGTTGTTTTGATTTGTTGTATTGTCCTATTTGGAGAAGTTACAGCTCTTCTGAGAATTGTTTGTGTCCTTTGACAACTTATCCATTGGGGAATGGCTCTTTAACTTATATGTTTGTGTTAATTCACTCCATATTTTGGATATCAGACCTTTAGCAGAGATTTTTGATACAAAGATTTTTATTTATGTCGAATCTTTTCAGTTTCATGTAATGTGATCTCTGTCCCTTTCCCACCCATAGTCATAAAAGATACCTAGATCTTTTTTCCTCAGTTTTAAAAAATGATATAGCCTTTTATATGTAAGTTAAATATCCATTTAGAACTTATTATATAATAGTCTAAAGTGCTGGCCTAAGCTAATTTTTTGACAAAGTGCTTTTCAGTTTTCCTATTAGTTCTTGTCAAATAAGGAGTTCTTTCCTAAGTAGTTTGTTTTCAAGTTTATCAAACACTGGCTTATTGAGTGCTTATCTAATATGTTGGATGAAACTAACAAGATTATATTTTTAATAAGGATAATTGTAAACTTCTGCACTTAGGCAAAAAAAAATCAACTTCACAGTATAATATGAGGGAGATGTGGCTAAAAAGCAGTTAGTTTGGAAAAAGATCTCAGTGGACCTTAGTGGATTTGTAAGTTAAATATTGAATTTGCAGTGTGCTATGGTAGCCAAAAAAACTAATGTGATCTTAACCTGCATTAATAAAAACACTGTAGAGAACAATGGAAGTATCATTTCCATTGTTATCTTATGTAGTCTCATCGCAATTTGGAGCATTGGGTGTAGTTGTGGTTGTCACATCTTTGAAAGGGGCATTTTCTAGGTCAGCACATGATCAGAATGGTAAAGGGATTCAAAATCTTGAGGATCAGTTGAAGAATTTTATCTAGAGAAAAGAAATTTGGTGATGTTACTAGCCTTCAAATTGTTGTAGTATTGTCACATGACAGATGACAGAAAGACTAGATTTGTCATACGTTGCCCCTGACATCATCAGAGCTAGTACTTAAGGGTAAAAGTCAAAGGGAGATTTTAGCTTACCGAACATTAAAAACTAATAACAATTAGAATGAACCAAAAATAAGATAGAATCTCTCATAAGTTAATGAGTTTACTGTTACTTCAGATCTTCAGCTAGTGGTTAAATAATCAAGATTAGTGATTTGGGTAGACCTTAAATTAGATGAAGCCTAAGATTATTTCCAGCTCTTAAGATTTTAGTGGTTCTACTTATATTCAGTATTTTTACACCTAGGTCCTAATTAGTGTGCATTAATCCTGTGACGTATTTGCATGTATTTGAATTCACATTATTTTAAGTTGTAATTATACAAAATATGGTCATTGGTTCCAGTCCAATGGAAATATGCAGTGGGAATTAAAATAATGCAGCTACTTGATAGGATTCATTCTATGTACTAATCAAGACCTATCTGTACTATATTGAGACTTTTTAAAAGCTATATGACTAAATCTAGCAATGTTAAATGGAACTATATAGCTTCCTCTAATGGCTTTTTGTATAATGCTGACTTATATTTTTCTGGTCTGGAGCAGTAATTTTATTAGTAAGTGGGAAAAGTTCCTTAGGAGTCAAGGGTACATTATTATTAGAAGACTCTTTAGTCAGTCTAAAAAATGTTTATTGAGTATGTGCCTAGCAGAAGAGTACAGAACTGTAGGTAGTGTAAACTATATCCTTTTTTGTTGTCTGTACATAGGATTTATTTGGGTAAATACTCATCAAATAAACTGATTTTTCTCTACTTTTAAATTGGTTTTCTTATGCCATTTTAGAGGACCTTCTGAGAATTACTCTCATTCCCCAGAAGTTATTGTTGAGGAAGATAATAGAAGTGAAATACCTAAATTCTTCTAGCTTTCTTCATATTTAGAGGATATTCTATGGGGTACTTTATTAAATACATTTAGAATATAGTATTTTGGGAACCCCTGGCTTTTCCAATGATGTATTTTAAGCATCAGGTTTCAAAATCTAGGTTCTGTAAGTAGCATTCAAAAGCCAAATACAAATTGCTAATTACCTGAGAAACCAGAGTTGAATAGAAATTTTACAAGGCTAGTTTTAAAAACTAGATTGTGAATGAAAAGGGAAGGTACCACATATTCTATGTTAGAATGCATAGTCCTTATGAAGATGGATTTGTGTAGCCAAATAAAATAGTTTGAGCTAACGAAGACCTAGCATGACTTTTTTTTTTTTTTCTTTAAGAAAAAGTGGCTAAATTAAAATAACTTTGTAACACATACTGGGTTTTGGGGTGAGAGGATTATAGACATAGCCTAAAACTTTTATTTTTATTAAAGGAAAACACAGCAACTAATTCATAGGCTTTTCTTTTCAAATTCAATCAAGTAAGCATTGTGTACCTACTATATACCAGCTGCTTATGAAAGATTCAAAGAAAGTATAAAAAGAAAATACTCTCTTTTCTGAAGGAATTTAGAGTCTCCTTAGTGAGAAGGAAGATACAAATAAAAGCCACAGAACAATACTCATGATTTCATTGATGTGAACATGCCTTCTAAAGATGTAGAGATCACACCCTATCCATGTCTATCCATTCTTTGGAACTCTCCATGTTCATCTCATATGTTTACCACAGGATGTCTGTCTGATATGTTGAGGCCTTCCTACTTTTCTCTTGATGTTGTAAGAATACCAGTGGACTATTATGGCTTTTCCTCATTCTGACTTTGTGACCATTACCTCTTTCTTTTGTACATTTCTTTGACTTCCTTTAATCCAGTTCTTTCAGCACTTAACACAGTGCTTAGTACATAGTAAATACTTAATAAATGTTTGTTGATTTCTTTGAGATTCCCTTTTATGTGTTACAGTCTGCTGATATCCACCAAGCACCTCTCTCTTGCTCTCATTAATACTCATTTTTAATCCTTCAGAGACTAATATTCCATGACTTACAGCCATATGACAACACTGGTAGAATATTTGTTTTAAAGAACAATATATGACAAAATATAAATTAGATGTTAAAATGCGTGGTCTAGACCAGAAGTGTCAAACATGCACACTATTGAGTGTGGTCCACACCAGAATAAAATGTGGTACTTATCTAATTTTAAAGTGTTGTGTAATAATAAAAAAAGAATTACATTAATATGTTGAATTCTAAGTCAATATGTGGCCTGTAGAGATCCTCACTTACCATTTAGTAGCCCCCATTTCTATTTGATTTTGACACCACTGGTCTAGATCATAAATCCTATAGGGGTTTAGAAGAAATAGTCTGCATAGAACTTGGGAGTTAGAGGAGACTCTAGAATAGTGCCTGGTAAGTAGTAGGTGCCTAATAAATGCCTGTTGACTGACATCTACCTTCACATAGGTTCATAGTATTTAGAGCTGGAAGGAACTTTGAAAATAATCTAATCCCATGCCCTCAGTTTACAGATGATGAAACTTGAGCCATAGAAAGGGGACAAGATTTGTCCAAGGCTTGCAAGGTAGCAAGTAGCTGAATTGGCATTTATGGTTGAGGAAACAATTTAGAGAAATTAAATGACTTGTCCAAGTTTACATGAGAAATTAGTAGCTGAGCAGGAACTGAAACCCAGATCTCCTGATGCTAAGCTTAAGGCTTTTTGTGTTATGATGTACTGCTTCCTTAGTTTAATAAAGTTTCATAGGTAGAATGGGAATTAAACTGTGCCTTGAAGATATTTTTAGGCCAAGAATATGGAGATTCTAATTCTTCCTTATGACATCACTAATGTGAAAATATGTTTAATAGGAATGTGTATGTATAGCCTGTATCAGATTGCACACTGTTTTGGGGTGGGAGGAATGGAGGGAGGGGGAGAAAAATTTAAAACTCAAAAGCTTATGGAAGTGATTGTTGATAAACCAAAATGAATTAATAAAAAAAAGAGTATGGAGGAAGGTATTCCAAGCATGAACAGAAATGCAGAGGTAGAAATAGTATATTGGGGGGGTGGCGGTATGGAAGAGACATTTAGGAAACTGGAGAATATGACTGGAGAAGATGGCTTATATTCTAGACTAGTAGAAAATTGAGTTGGAATAGTTAAAGTGAGGTCAGATTATGGAAAACCTTACATGTTATGGAAAAGACATTGACCTTGATCTGGTAGACAGGAGGGAGTAACATGATTGCAGTAATGTTATAGAAGGATTACTTTAGCACAGGAGTTTTTAAACTTTTTTTGTGTCATAGACCCCTTTGGCAGTCTGGTAAAGCCTAAGGATACCTTCTCAGAACCATATTTTTAATTACATAAGATAAAACATAGAGGATTATGAAGGAAACTAAAAAGTTAGTGAAAATAAAGATATAATTCATTTCCTATCCTCTGAAATCTATCCATTTATCTCCTAGGGGGTGAGGGGGTGTCCGTGGACCCCAGGTTAAGAACCCTTGCTCTAGCAGCAGTGAGCAGAATGGTTTGGAGTAGTGAGAAATTTAAAATAGTGAAGCCTATTAGGGGGCTGTGCAATAATGTAGGTGTGGGGTGCTTTGCACTAGAGTGGTAGCATTAGGAAGGAAAAATCAATAGAAATTGGCGAACTATTAGAATTTGGGACTCAAGAAAGGGAGAGAAAGAATAACTCCTAAGTTTTTGTGGGTGGTGGGGAGAATTTATGGAGCACCTTGACAGTAGAAAAGGCTAAGTTGAGAGAAGAGCCAGCTTTTTTTGGTGTGGTTTTAGATGCTTGATAAGTTTGAAATGGAACTTATTTAGGAGATAGGAATGCTGTCAGGTGAGAAGACAGGACTTGTGATTTCCAGAGGTGATAGTTGAAGTGAGAATGGATACATTTGGAGAATTTTGAGAGACCTACATTTAAAAAAAAAGAACAACATACGCAAGGCAATTTATTTGGCTCTGGGATATAGTTTGGGGAATATAATTGAGTTAATTGTTTCTTGTTCTTTAAATTATTTGGTCTATAGTGACAAAACGGCTTTTCCTCAATTTGTGTTGTGAATTCATTCTACCAGTCCCTTGTTCCTCTAACATAATGTTATTGCATATAGTATGTGCTATGCCAAGGTCCACAGCAGGAAAGATGATTATCAGATTCATTAATTGAGCTACTATGTCTTTGGTGTTTAGGGCCTGAAAAAGTTTGGACTTGAGTTCCTGGTATGAAATATAAAATCCAAAGGTACTTTTGCTACATAAACCACTTTATTAATGGGCTTATCAGGAAAGAAGCTCTTTATTTTTTGTAATAGACATATAAACAATCATGAAGTTGATAATTATTTATTTCTGCTCTTGATGTAAGACATGGTACAGTGGAAATAATCCTGGTTTTGAGATCAGAGGACTGATTCTCACACCTGGCTTCAAATTCCAACTCTGATACTACTTCTGTGACCTTGGAATTACTTACATGACTCTCTGGCCCTCAGTTTCTTCATCTGTAAAATGAGGGGGTTGGAGTAGGTAATCCTGCAAGGTTCCTTTATGTTCTAAATCTATCTTCCTATAAAGTGTAATAAAAAGGACTCAGAAGATAAGTGCAAAGTGGGCAATATGTTATCTAATCTTAGGGCTTAGATATAACAATGCCAGGTGATATGGGTATTCTACTAACAGTGCGATGGTTAAAATTTTGTATGGCCTTTTTCCTCTTAGTGACTGAAAAACAGCTTGCTGAGAAGATTAAAACTCTTTTACAAGAAAAAACAGAGATTTTAGAAAAGATGTCAGAATATGATCAGAAGGTATGGTGGTCCTGTTTGATTTTATTTTCTTTCATTTCTAATAACTCAGCCCTTTAATCATACCATCTTAGTTTATTATTTTCTACAAATTATCTAAATCTGAAGGAAATGCAAGTATAATGCCTTCTGAGGTTATATTCTGTAAAGCAAGCACCTATTTAGATGTACAGGGTATCCCAAAAGTCTTAGTGAATTAAAGCTTAAACTGAACTAATAAGACTTTTGAGACAATCTGTTTTGTGCTGTTTTTATAGTGTGCTTTTTGCTTCTTCTGAATCTTTTTTTGTCTGTCTATAGATCAAAAAAGCAAAGGAGTCGGTAAAGGAAACCAAGAAACAGAATATTAATCTTTCTGATGAAGCAGCTGGCCTTAAGGTAAAAATCCTCCCTATATTTAGGATTATAGCACAAAAATAAAAGTAAAATCAGTGATTTTTAAAATAACCATTGTACATAGCAGGCACTCTAATGATTTGTTTCCTTGAATTCATTTATCTTGATAATTTTTAGGATAAAATCAGAGGGCTTGAAGAAACAAACCAAAAACTGGATGACAAAGTGAAAAATCTCAATTCATTGTTGGAAACTGAAAAGGAACAGAATGTAAAGAAACAGGACATGGTAAAAGCATTCCTCTAATTTAGATTTTTTTTGTGCCTTGTTTGAGTTGAGACTTTTGCTCGAAATTGGTGGAAGACAGGGTAGTCTGTTTACCTTTGAATATTTCCTTAGCACAGGGTGGTCTGGGGACTCAGATGGATCTCTGAGACCCTGTCAGGAGGGTCTTTGAGGTCAAAACTGTTTTCATAATGCTGAAGATATTTCAGTTTCTAACATGGCAAATTTAAATATAACCCATGTAAAAAGCTCTTTCGGGAGGGGGTCCTCAATAATTTTTATTGAGGGGGTCCTGATACCAGAAAGCTTGAGAGCTGCAGCCTTAGATTTTGAGCACATACTGCATGTGCTTATCATTGTTGCTATTTATTTATAGTAATTTTTATCCTTTTCTGTACTTTCCTCAGAGAAAGGTAAAAATGACAAACTGCAGTGGCGGTGTTTCTTGTGAAATTTCCACTTGTATAAAAGTTGTTCAATAGTTTTGTTCAATATCACCCTGCAAAGGCTAGAGAAACATCAGTTTTGGGGTATTTGAGTTCTGAATCTATTATATTTTCCTTCAAAAAAAATTTTTTTTCCTCCCATTTTCTTTTATTGCATTGTTCATTTCAGTAAGCATGATTATGTATGACCCTATAGATTCTACAGAACATTGTGTCATCTATTAGGTTTTTCTTGATTGTTGTCCCGCCTCCATTCTCCTTTATTTCCCTACAGAAGTAGATCTTTAGGTCTTAAGTTTGTTGGTGGCCTTTATCAGAAGTGTAAAAGAATAAAGTTTTGTTAAATGTTACTTCTAAAAGTGTGCTCATTTTATGGGTTTACTGAAATGGCTAACATTTAACTTTTTAGTTGTTAATATACATTTTTGTTTTCTGTTTTCTTTTTCATACAGATATTGGAAACTCAGAAATCAATAGAAAAACTACAAGAAGTTATTACAATGCATTCTGTTGAACTTTCAGAGGTAAAATAATCTAACTTTTCCTGAAGGCTTATAGTACCAAGTATGGTGGGTGAAAGATGAAATGACTGATGAAACAAAGGTTTATGCTTCCAATCCTTTCGATTTATTAAGCAATGTATGCCAGTTGTCCAACAAATCGTGACCATTAGCCTTCCTCAGCTTTGGCACTGGACCCCAAATATTGGAGACAGATTTTTATGCATTAAAAACAGTTAATCAAATAAAACCAATTAATTAAAAGAAAACAGTTAACCAGGATACAAAATTAGGTAATCTGATTTCTAATTGGAGGAAGGATTAGGGGCTTTCCAGGTTGGGAGGAGGAGAGTGAACAGCTGTAATTCCCTGAAATCAGAAAATGTGTTCTACTCCCCCCAAGAGTCTGTATTCAATCAAAGGAACATGGAAACAATAACTGATTAACCGGTAAGGGGCCAGTTTTCAGATAAGACGTATGGGTTACTTGAGATGTGTAATTGTTAGAAAATTTCTTGCATCAGTCTTTAGATCTGACTGGGTTTCTAGTCAGCATAACCTAGATATCCTTGTAAGAGTTTCTAAGCAGCAGGGAGAGATGGTCCAGCTTCCCAGCCACACAGGGTTAGGTTCAAACAATGCAATAAAGTTTTCTCACAATTCCCATAATTTAATGAAGTTTTCTGACAAGACAGAAATTGGACTAGACCCATAATTGAATAGAGAGAGAACTGAGCTAGCTTCCTAATTGAGCCACAAGATGGAGTCAGTGTGGTTCACTCAATTCCCCCTACCACTTGCTGTCCTAATCCCCTCAATTCCCTCGAGACCCCTTAAAATATAAATAGTTCATGATATACTAATCTGCATGTTTTTGCAATTAAAAACTCAAAAATCCAGTGTGGATATGAAGTAGCAGAGAGATTACAGTTTTCATGGTAGTCTTTTGCTTTAGGTGCAGATAGCCCTTAATGAAGCTAAGTTCAGTGAAGAGAAAGTAAAGTCTGAACTGCATCATGTGCAGGAAGAAAATGCACGACTCAAAAAGAGAAAGGAGCAGGTATGGTGAGTTTTTCTTCTTTAAGTGCTGTAACTAATTAGGTTTGTGCTTTTCTTATCTAACTTCTCTCAGTTGCTCTTGTATTTTTAGTGTATTAACAAATAGGTAATTCACATTCATGTAGTTCTTAGTTTACGGAGTGATTTCTCCACAACAGCCCTTAGAGGCATAAAGTAAGAAATAGTTGGAGCTTGTGTTATTAATGTTGCAGAGTTTAAATTTTTGTTATCCAACAACATAATAAATATGTGTATCAACATAAATAGGTCAGTGCATCCAGATTTCATGTCTTTTCCAAGTTCATGAGGCTGTTAAAAGGGTAATTTTTGTCTTTTTTTTTAATTTTTTTTTTTTTTGGCTAGGCATTGGGGTTAAGTGATTTGCCCAGGGTCACACAGCTAGTGTCAAATGTCTGAGGCTGGATTTGAACTCAGGTCCTCCTGACTCCAGGGTCAATGCTGTATCCACCTAGCTGCCCCCTAATTTTTGTCTTTTGACCCAAAATTAGAGTCAGTTATTAAAAAGTCTAATCTTGTTTTAGCTGCACAGAAGACTTCTTTTCTCTAGACTTAAACATGACTAATTCCTTTAACCAGTCATTATGATATGATAGACTCTTCATGAATCCAATTGCCATCCTCTGCACCCCTTTCCATTTCATCAATGTCTGTCTTAAACTCTGCCACGCAGAACTGAGCAAAAATACTCCAGAGGAGGTCTGAAGATGGCAGAGGACAGTGGGACCACCACTTCACTATTCCTGGAAGCATCTTCTCTTCATGTAGCATTTTAGTGTTCAAGATCTCATTAGTTGTTTTGACTGACATTGATACTTTTGACTCATAATTGAACTCGAAGGCCACCAAAATCCCCAGTCTTTTTCAGAACTGCTGTCTAATCATGCCTCCTCTATCATGTAATTGTGGAGTCAATTTTTTTAACCTCGGTATAAGACTTTTATAATTATGCTTATTAAATTTCATCTTAAATTCAGTAAAATGCTCTAGCCCATCAAGATCTTTTTGGATCCCAATTACTAACTCTTTCAACTTCAGCTCATCCAAAAATTGGATGAACATGCCATGAATTCCTTTAATTCAAGGCATTTATAAAAACATAGTAAACAGCCCACAGCCAAGAACAGATCTCTGGATATGTCAGTGGAGATCTCCTGACATAATAACATTGAAGTGTTCAAGGAGGACTAGCCCCTCTGATGTGAGGGCTTGCTGAGCCCTTTCTAGGGCTGCTCATCCATCTTTGGTGTCCACCTGGCACTCAACTCTCACTTGTGGCTCCAGGAAACTAGTGTGCACAGCAGCCACACTCTGGTAAAACCATCTCAGTGGATAGGCTAAACCAGGTTGAGGGTAATTGACAGACCTCAAACCTGTTGGTGAGTTAGGGGGATGTCTACCCCAAGTATGTAAAGACTTCCCCTGATGGATTGTGTAGATGAGAACAATTTGTTCCAGTGGCCATGAAGGTGACTGAAGCAGGCATGTGGAGCATTTAGAGCTTGGTCAGACATTGAGGATACCAAAGTCATCCATTGTATCCCAGGCTATCACTAGTCTTCTTGACTTTTGTCTTGCCCCACTGGACTTCAATGACTCTGGAAGGAGAGAGTGAGGCTGACAACTTCATGCAACTCTGCCTCACTTAAATCCAATTCCCACACAAGTCAAGACATAAACCTGGGGTATCATTGGTTCTTTTCAAAAACGAAGGATGGAACACAGAACTTGTTCTTTGAATGGAGCTATCACTTAGTTCTGAATTCATTTATTTGTCTTCTCTACTCTGTATTTCTGCATCTTCCCTTCTGGAATGGTATGCAGTAACGTTATCAAAAACTTTGATAAAATCTAGGTTAACTATTCACAGTACTTTATCCTCCTAGTTGATTAATTCTGTTAAAAAAGGAAATAAGATTACTTCATCTCTCACATTCTGTGTATCTCCTGAAGAGACTGAAAGAATTATCAGGCAATAGTGTATACTCATTTTGTATTAAGTGAAAGATACATGATGTATTTTGTAATCCTCCTTGGAAAGTTATTCCTACCTGGACGTGATGGTGAGTAAATATTTAGTCAGGAGGACTAGACTTGGCCTAAGTTATTACTGGGAGAAAAGGTGAAGTGTGCACTGTCATCTCTGCTAAGGGTCCATTCTTTGAATTACCAGTTTTGAGAATTGTTGTTATGTGGGACCAAAGTGTATCCTGAAGTTTACATTTTAATCAGATTAACTAGTTAGTCAACTATTCCTGGGGCACCGTAGCTAATCCTTTAGTTTTGTGCTTTGAGTTGATTCCATTCATACTTATACAGGAAGAGTTTTCTGAAGGGAAGCACTTTCCTTCCTTCATTTCTCCACAGTAATGAAATCAGCCTTAGGTTTAGGTGATAGACCAGGAAGCAGACATTTTGTCCTCCCCTTCCCTCATGCCTCCAAAGTGGATTTCACATTTACCATAAGAATGTCAAGTTCAGTGTGCCAGCTCAGTTCAATTATGGGTGGCCATGGTAGCAGGGAAGGATAGGGGAGAGGGGAAGAGGAAGGATTTTATGGTGGAAAGGGCATTTCAATTTGAGTCAAGACTCCAGTTAAAATCTCTGCTGTGACACATATTTGTGTAACCCTGGACAAGTTTTAACCTTTGTTGTCTTTAGTATCCTCATCTGTAAGTTGGGCATACATTCTTCACAGGATTGTTAAGAGAAGAGCATTTTCAAACATTTAATGTTATCTAAATGTTATTAGAGCTTTGTCATTCTTTAGAATCATTGTCCAGATTTCCTTGTGTGGTATTTAGGAAAACCTCCACTAAAGTCTTACTCCATTGTTTCATTTTGATTGACCTTTAACCCTGGATTCTTAAAGGCTGTGTCGGCATAGTATGCATCATAGAAAGTTCTACCAAGTTAGAAAAACTTTGGACATGGGCACAGTGATGGATGCTATGTTTCATCCAACAACTAACCTACCTAAATTCACAGGGGTACATCATAAGATTGCCTGCAGGTTTCAGTCATAGCAACTTTTTCAAAAACAGTCTTACTGACTGAAAAATGATTATAGTCTGTGTAAGTAGATGGAATAAAATAAAAATAAAATTATGGATTGTTGAAGTATTTATGGGAATCCCAATTGAAAGCAAGTATTTTTGCCAGACTTGTTGCCATATGGGAATCAAGTTCCCTACTAAAAGGAACAAAATAATGAGCTACTTTCAGTTTTGTTAATCCTTGGAAATGATTATCATTCTCATTCAAGGGAATCTGGTACGTGGAGACTGGAAACCCCAAAGTTGTCCAACTGTTAAGAACAACAACTGATTATGCTATTAAGAGCAGTCTGCTGTAGATGATTATTTCATTTATCCTTTTTCTTCTTTCATTGATGCCTCCAAATATCCGAAGGGTTTATAGTTTTGGGTTTTCATTTGTCTTGTTGGTCCTCTTTCATTCCACCTATGAGTAGGCTGTCGGAGGAATAAAATTTTCCCTTGCATCTCAGGAAGATATTAATACTGCAAACTGTGTATATTTAATTTTGAACTGTATTCATTGGATGTCAATAAACAGGGATCATGTCCCTTGAAAGAAAGAGCTTGCAAATTATGATTTGTGGTAATGTAGTCATTTTTTTTCCTAGCTGCTGCAGGAAGCAGAAGGTTGGAGTGAGCGACACACTGAACTCAGTGAGCAAATCAAATTATATCAGAAGACTCAGAAAGATAGTGAAGAAGCCCTTGCTTACAAAGAGAATGAAATTGAAGTAAGTTCCTGCTAAGGAACTTTTCTTTTTATGTTCTGCTTATACAGTGGGGTGACATTTGGAGCTTTTCTCTGATGACTTTTGGTTTCTTCATTAGGTTTTGACTAATTGCATTATGCAGCTGAAACAACTTGATCTTGATTCTGAATCTGAGCGCAAAAATAACGAAGAAGGAAATGGATGGGATGACTTAGCCAATGGAGAGCTGTCAGATAAAATCACCTCAGGTAGCTTGTGGACTTTTTTGCTTATCCATTTTAACACTCTGATAGGAAGGTAGAACATTTGGAACTTTCTCTGGGAGTTGTGTCCTTAAATTTGTTTGCTATCAGGACAGGTACAAAACCATAGAAAGGAAATGTTTCTCAGTTGAAAGAGAATTTTGTACCATGTAAAGCTCTTTCCAGTCTAAGAACAATACTGCTAAACTATGTTTTGGGCAAATACAACTTTGTATAGAGGTTTATAGTTTCCTGAAGAGTGAAGTATCCTTTGTCTGGCCAGTGAATTCAGATTTTCTCAGGGTGTTTCATTTTTATTAAAATATTTGTCAACTTCCGCTTCTGGGAGCCAAGATGGCGGAGTAAAAAGGTAGTCGCTCTCACCCTCCCCTATCAACCTCTGAAAACCCAGAAAATATCACCCCAGAAAAAACCCTGGAACAGCTGAACCAGAAGAAAGATGGGGTGTAGCAGTGCAGTAGCCCAGGTAGCTAGAGGGATTAATGGGAAAGACCCCTCTTACCCTGGGGGAAGGGGAGCGGTATGAAACAGGAGTCGCCCAGCCAGCTAGTGGAAAGACCCACTTTAGCACACCAGGAGGAGATTCTGGTGCCTCGGCATTCTACAGCAAACGGGTCTCCCAGTGCCTCAGCAAAAATAAGGGAAGCATCACTACAAAGGGCCCCAGGAGGATAAGCACACGGCAGCATTCATCTGAAAGGAGCTGAAGAAAGCAACCTAGAAGTGCCAGATAGTTCCAGCCTTGTTGATTCCAGCCCAACACCAGGTAAGCTGTCTGAATCCTACAGCCTCCAACTGCCAACCAGGAGGAGCTCCTGAAGCCCAGGTGGTTGAGCAGGCAAACGCCAACAGCTGTACCTCCGAGTGCCTCAGTGAGGGTGGGGTAACTGGTGGAAACCAGCTCAGAAAACCACTGCCTCGGCATTCTACAGCAAGGAAGTCTCCCAGTACCTCAACAGAAATAAGGGAGGCAGCACTGCAAGGGGCCCCAGGCAGTTAAACACCTGACAGCACTTATCTAAAAGGAGCTAAACAAAGCTAAAGGAAAGGAAAAGCAGGCAACCTAGATTTACCTGAAAGTCCCAGCCTTGTTGATTCCAGCTCAACACCAGATAAGCTGCTGGAACCCTACAGCCTCCTATTGCCAACATAAGAGGCCCCAGCTCCCAAAGCCAGTGACCAAGACCTAGGCTCCCAACATAAGAAGCTTGGGTCAGTGCCCTCTGCTCCCCAGCAGGAGAGCTTAATCTCTGTAAAGGCCAGGGAATAAGGAAACACCATGAGTAAAAAGAAACGTACGATAGATTCATATTATGAGAAGAGTGAAGATCAAGACAGAAATTCTGAAAAGGACAACACTGTCATCAAACCCACATCTGCAGCATCAAAAGGGAATATGAACTGGTGTTAAGCCCAAAAAGCCTTCTTAGAAGAACTCTAGAAGAATTTTAAAAGTCAAATGAGAGAGGTAGAGAAATCCTTTAAAAGTACAATTGGCCAATTGGAAAAAAAGTACACTGAAGAAAACAAGTCCCTAAAACACACAATTGGCCAATTGGAAAAAAAGTACATTGAAGAAAATAAATCCCTTAAAAATACAATTGACCAATTGGAGAAGAAAGTACAAAATCTAACAGAAAAAAATAATATGTTAAAAATTAGAATTGAACAAATGGAAACTAATGACTCTATGAGAGAGCAAGAATCAGTCAAACAGAAACAAAAAAATGAAAAAATAGATGAAAATGTAAAATACCTCATGGGTAAAACAGCTGACCTGGAAAATCGATCCAGGAGAGACAATTTAAAAATTATAGGCCTACCTGAAAGTCATGATGAAAAAAAGAGCCTGGACAATATCCTTCAGGAAATCATAAAGGAAAACTGCCCTGAAGTCCTAGAACCTGAAGGTAAAATAACTATAGAAAGAATCCACCGCTCCCCACCTGAAAGAGATCCCAAATTGAAAACACCAAGGAATATAATAGCTAAATTCCAAAATTACCAGATTAAAGAGAAATTACTGCAAGCAGTCAGAAAGAAACAATTTAAATATCATGGAACCACAGTCAGGATTACACAAGACCTTGCAGCCTCTACATAAAAAGACTGTAGGGCATGGAACATGATATTTTATAAGGCAAAGGAGCTTGGAATACAGCCAAGGATTAACTACCCAGTGAAAGTGAGCCGTGATCTTTCAGGGAAGGAGATAGATATTCAGCAAAATAGGGGACTTCCAAACGTTCCTGATAAAAAGACCAGAGCTCAACAAAAAATTTGATCTTCAATTACAGGATTCAAGAGAGACATAAAAAGGTAAATGGGTCAGAAAGATACAATATGTTGTTAATAAGGGCAAAATGTTTACATCCCTACAAGGGAAGATGGCACTTGCAACTCTTGAGAACTGTATTGTTATTATACCATGTTAAAGGAGTATACATAAAGGGGTAGATATAAGTTGACTTTGATGTTATGATAAAAAAAAATTTAATTAAGTGGGTTAAATGGATCCAAGTAAGTGGATTAGTCTGAGCTAAGAAAATGTACCGCGAAAGGAGGTGGCAGACAAGGGTAAATTATATTACAGGAAAAGACACAAAAACCTGTTAGAGCAGAGGTAAAGAAGGGAGAGGGATGAGCATTGTTTGAACCTTACTCTCATCAGATTTGGCTCAAGAAGGGAATAACATAATCAGTTAGGTATAGAAATCTAACTTGCACTATAGGCAGTAGGAGGGAAAAGGGGAAAAAAAGGGAGGGGGGATAGAAGGGAGGGAAGAAGCAGTAAGGGTAAAGGGGAAGAAAAGGGAAAGGGATAATAGAAGGGAGGTGGGACTGTGGGAAGTGGTGGTCAAAAGCAAAACACTAGTGAAGAGGGAAAAGGAGAAAGGAGAAAGAAAAGCATAAACGGGGAAAAAAGGGTGGAGAAAAAGACACAGATAGTAATCATAACTGTAAATATGAATGGGGTGAACTTTCCCATAAAACAGAAACGTATAGCAGAATGGATTAAAAACCATAATCCTGCAATATATTGTTTACAGGAAACACATTTGAAAAATAGTGACACACACAGGGTAAAGGTAAAAGGCTGGAGCAAAATATATTATGCTTCAGCTGAAGTAAAAGCAAGGGTAGCAATCCTGATCTCAGACAAAGCAAAATCAAAAATAGATCTTATCAAAAAAGATAAGGAAGGAAACTACATCCTATTAAAAGGCACCATAGACAATGAAGTAATATCATTACTGAACATATATGCACCAAATGGTATAACATCCAAATTCTTAGAGGAGAAGTTCAGGGAGTTACAGGAAGAAATAGCAAAACTATACTAGTGGGGGACCACAACCTCCCCCTCTCTGAACTAGATAAATCTAACCACATAATAAACAAGAAAGAAGTCAAGGAGGTGAATGGAACATTAGAAAAGTTAGGTATGATAGACCTGTGGAGAAAACTGAATGGGTAGAAAGGAATATACTTTTTTCTCGGCGGTTCATGGCACACACACGAAAATTGACCATGTACTAGGGCATAAAAACCTCACAATCCAATGCAGAAAGGCAGAAATAGTAAACGCATCCTTTCGGATCATGAAACAATAAAAATTATATGTAATAAAGGGCCATGGAAAGAGAGACTAAAAAAAAAATTGGGAACTAAATAATCCAATCCTAAAAAATAACTGGGTCAAAGAACAAATCATAGAAACAATCACTAATTTCATTCAAGAGAATGACAATAATGAGACAACATACCAAAACTTATGGGATGCAGCAAAAGCAGTTCTTAGGGGAAGTTTTATATCTCTAAATGCTTACATAAATAAAATAGAAAAAGAGGAGATCAATGAATTGGGCATACAACTAAAAAAACCAGAAAAAGAACAAATTAAAAATCCTCAATTAAACACCAAATTAGAAATATTGAAAACCAAAGGAAAAATTAATAAAATTGAAATTAAGAAAACTATTGAACTAATAAATAAAACTAAGAGCTGGTTTTGTGAAAAAATCAGTAAAATAGATAAACCTTTGGTTAATCTAATTAAAAAAAAGAAAGAAGAAAACCAAATTACTAGTATCAAGAATGAAAAGGGTGAAACTACCACCAAGGAAGAGGAAATTAAAACAAGTTAGGAATTATTTTGCCCAACTATATGCCAACAGATTTGACAATCTTAGTGAAATGAATATATATTTACAAAAATATAAATTGCCCAGATTAACAGAAGAGGAAGTAAAATACTTAAATAACCCCATCTCAGAAAAAGAAATTGAACAAATCATTGATGAACTCCCTAGAAAAAAATCTCCAGGGCCAAGATGGATTTACATGTGAATTCTGTCAAACATTTAAAGAACAATTAATTCCAATACTCTATAAACTATTTGGTAAAATAGGTAAAGAAGGAATCTTACCAAATTCTTTTTATGATACAAATATGGTGCTGATACCTAAACCAGGAAGAGTCAAAACAGAGAAAGAAAATTACAGACCAATTTCTCTAATGAATATAGATGCAAAAATCTCAAACAAAATATTAGCAAATAGATTACAGCAACTTATCACACAAATAATACACTATGACCAGGTAGGATTTATACCAGGAATACAGGGCTGGTTCAATATACGGAAAACTATCAGCATAATCCATCATATCAACACCAAAACTAACAGAAACCACATGATCATCTCAATAGATGCAGAAAAAGATTTTGACAAAATACAACACCCACTCCTATTAAAAACACTAGAGAGCATAGGTATAAATGGAGTCTTCCTTAAAATAATAAATAGCAACTATCTAAAACCTTTAGCAAGCATAATATGTAATGGGTACAAGCTAGAAGCATTTCCAGTAAGATCAGGGGTGAAACAAGGATGTCCATTATCACCACTGTTATTCAACATCGTACTGGAAACGTTAGCTTTAGCAATAAGAAAAGAAAAAGACATTGAAGGCATTAGAATAGGCAAAGAAGCAACAAAGCTATCACTCTTTGCACATGACATGATGTTATACTTAGAGAATCCCAGAGAATCAAGTAAAAAACTACTTGAAATAATAAACAACTTCAGCAAAGTTGCAGGCTATAAAATAAACCCACATAAATCGTCGGCATTTCTATATATTACCAACAAAGCCCAACAGCAAGAGATAGAAAGAGAAATTCCATTTAAACTTACTGTAGACATTATAAAATATTTAGGAGTCTACCTCCTGAAACAAACCAAGGAACTCTATGAACACAGTTACAAAACACTTTTCACGCAAATAAAATCAGATCTAAATAATTGGAAAAACATCAGTTACTCATGAGTAGGCCGAGCTAATATAATAAAAATGATAGCTCTAAGCTAATTTACTTATTCAGTGCCATACCAATCAAACTACCAAAAAATTATTTTATAGAGTTAGAAAAAATAATAAGATTCGTTTGGAAGAACAAAAGGTCCAGAATATCAAGAGAACTAATGAAAAGAAATGCAGGGGAAGGTGGCCTAGCCATTCCATATCTTAAATTGTATTATAAAGCAGCAATCATCAAAACTGCTTGGTACTGGCTAAGAAGTAGAGTGGATCAGTGGAATAGGTTAAGTATGCAAGACACAGTAGTCAATGACTATAGTAATCTATTTTTTGATAAACCCAAAGACCCCAGCTTCTGGGATAAGAACCCACTCTTTGAAAAAAAACTGCTGCGAAAACTGGAAAAGAGCATGGCAGAAACTAGGCATAGATCAAAATCTCACACCATATACCAAAATAAAGTCAAAATGGGTACATGATTTAGATATAAAGGCTGATACTATAAGCAAACTGAGAGAGCAAGGAATAGTTTACCTGTCAAATCTATGGAGAACAGAAGAATTCATGACCAAACAGGAGATAGAGAACATTATAAAAAGCAAAATAGATAATTCTGATTACATTAAATTGAAAAGTTTTTGCACAAACAAAGCCAATGCAACTAAGATTAGAAGGAAGGTAGAAAATTGGGAAAGAATTTTTACAACCAGTCTCTCTGATAAGGGCCTCATTTCTAAAATATATAGAGAATTAAGTCAAATTTATAAGAATACAAGCCATTCCCCAATTGATAAGTGGTCAGAGGATATGAACAGACAATTCTCAGATGAAGAAATTAAAGCCATCTATAGTCATATGAAAAAATGCTCTAAATCACTATTGATTAGAGAAATGCAAATCAAAATAACTCTGAGATACCACATCACACCTATCAGAATGGCCAACATGACAAAACAGGAAAATGATAAATGTTGGAGAAGATGTGGGAAAATTGGAACACTAATGCATTGCTGGTGGAGTTGTGAAATGATTCAACCATTTTGGAGAGCAATTTGGAACTATGCCCAAAGGGCTATAAAAATGTGCATACCCTTTGACCCAGCAATAGTACTTCTGGGGTTGTATCCCAAAGACATCACACAAATGGGAAAAGGACCTCCGTGTACAAAAATATTCATCGCAGCTCTTTTTGTGGTCGCAAAGAATTGGAAATTGAGAGGATGCCCATCAATTGGGGAATGGCTGAGCAAGTTGTGGTGTATGAATGTGATGGAATACTATTGTGCTATAAGAAATGTTGAACAGGCTGACTTCAGAAAAACCTGGAAAGACTTGTATGGTCTGATGCTGAGTGAAGTGAGCAGAACCAAGAGAACTTTGTACACAATAACAGCCACGTTTTGTGATGAGAAATATTGATAAACTTAACCCTGGCAATACAAGGATCCTAGACATCTCCAGAGGCCTTGTGATGGAAAATGCTATCCACGCCCAAAGAAAGAACTATGGAAGCCAAATTGTTATTTTTTTTCTCTTCTGTTGAGTTTTGTTTTCTCTTTCTGATGGTTCCTCCTATTGGTTTTAATTTCTACTTACAACATCACTAATGTGAAAATATGTTTAATATGAATGTAAATGTATAGCCTATATCAGATTGTGCTCTGTCTTGGGGAGGGTGTTGGGGAGGAAGGGGGAGAAAAATTTTAAACTCAAAAGCATATGGAAGTGATTATTGATAAATCAAAAAAAATTAATTAAAAAATATTTGTCATGGATTCTTAAGAATTTTTGGAGGTAAAAGAATATAAAGTGATAAATAGTAAATTCCTCTTTTTTATTTTTTTCTTAAAGATAATCGGAATGAGAAGATGAAGAGCCAGATTAAACAGATGATGGATGTCTCACGGGTATGATCTAAGTCCTTCTGTATTACTGTAAAAGGTATATATAGTTCCCATCTTAACATTTCAGTTTAATAATTCTCTCTTCTCTAACTTGTAGGTTAAAACTACATTAACAATAGTTGAAGAAGATAGAAACCAATTGCAGTCCAAACTAAGTGATGAAATAAAAGCTCGGCATGAATTGGAAGGTAGACTTTTCCTTATGAAATGTTTTCTTTTTAAATAATAAAAATGAGTTTGTATATGAGAATTGAATATTCTCACTTACCTGCCCCTGCTGTCATGTGGCACATGCACACACAAACAGGCAGAATTTTTTTTTTTTTTTTACAGAACAAATTAAGAAGATGGAACATGACTCCTCTTCTCTGCAGTCAGCCAAAGCACAGTTAGAAAATGAATGTAAAACTCTGCAACAAAAAGTGGAGATTCTCAATGAACTCTACCAGCAGAAAGAGATGGCTCTGCAGAAGTAAGTGTCTATGTGTATTAATAAATATTTTCTAGATGAACGTGTTTGTGCTGAGACATACACACGCTATGTACCTAGAAAACCAGCACGTATGTTTATATATTTCTTTTTTTAATTAATTTATCAATTGTTTGGTTATTTCAGTTGTGTTCAATTCTTTGCGACCCCAGTTAGGGTTTTCTTGGCAAAGATACTGGAGTGATTTGCCATTTCCTTCTCCAGCTCATTTTACAGATGAGGAAACTGAGGCAAACAGGGTTAAGTGACTTGTCCAGGGTCACACAGCTAGTAAGTATCTGAGGCCAGATTTGAACTCGTGAACGTGAGCTTTCCTGATGTTAGGCCCAGCATTCTATCCATTGTGCCACGTAGCTGCCCTTTTTTTCCCCTTAAATCAGTGCATCAACACAATAAAATCAGACAGGAACTACATTTTAATCTGTTTTGGGCTGCACTTGGAAGTGTTGTGAGCCACATGGCATCTTGTGGACCACATTTTTTGACACCTCTGGTATAGCAGATAGGCCACTTGACTTTGAGTCAGGGAAATCTAAGTTCAAATACCCTTTCAGAAGGGGCAGCTAGGTGGCACAGTGGATAGAGCACTGGCCCTGGAGTCAGGAGGACCTGAGTTCAAATCTGGCCTCAGACACTTGACACTCACTAGCTGTGTGACCCTGGGCAAGTCACTTAACCCTGATTGCCTCACCAAAAAGACAAATACTCTCTCAGACCATTACTGGATGTGTGACCCTGGGCAATCTCCATAGGTCTCAGTTTTCAAAACATTCCTGTTTTCATTTCTAAAATGAGGAGAGTTGAACTAGTTAACTTCTGATTTCTTTTCCATCTTTAAAGCTGTGATCCTGTGATACCAAACTATGTACTGACAGTATCTTGCCTTCTGCCTTTTATCAAAATCAGAAGTTTGCATTTAGAAAGCAAGCTTTCTTTTTTTTTTTTTTTTTTTTTTTAATAATATAGCTTAGGTAATTATTACCTGGGAGATGATTGTTCTGTGTTCTTCCTTTTTAACTCTTTCAAAATCACCTTTTTTATGTCCTTACTTGTGCTAATGTGGACTATAGAAATATAAGATTTAGATCATTTAGTAGAAACCCCTCAGTTACAGATGAGGAAACAGAGGCTCAGAGTAATTATGATTTGCTAAAGGGCACATGGATGATAAATCAGGTCTGAAGACCCTCATGTCAGTCTCTCAGAGAGAAGAATACTGAACTCATGCTAGATATACTCTTAATACTGAGTATATGTTTTAAAAGAAAAAAAAAGGCAACCCTCAGGAGGATTGGGCCCCTGGGTAGCATAGCTTGTCTTTCCACATGTTCAAAACGGGAAACGTTCCAGGAAGCAAAGAATTGTTTTATCTACTTCATTCCTGTAGCGTTCAATACATGTCTGGACACACAGTAGGAACAAAAGCATTACTAATAAGTGCTTAATGAATACTTGATTGAGCAAACATTTATTGAGCATATACTATAAGTCCCTTTCTGGGTGCTGGGAACACAAAAGATGTACAAGACCCAGTCCTTCCCCACACAGGGTTTATGTCTAGCTGTGGAAACAAGACAAATATAACTTTCCACTAGCAGAGTAACGCTTCACCTTCATTTGACCTCATAGCACTCTGTGTTCCTCTATGTATTTATTATATTGAATTTGATTCAGCTATCATTGATTGAATTATTTGGGTACTACATTTCAGAAATTGATAAGCTGGAGTGTCTGGAGGAAATCAGCCAAGATGTTTAAGTTATGATCATAGTTGAGTTGATTATCGTGGTGTTACATAAAAATGAGGTGTTACTTTATCAGTTTGGAGTAGCTAGCTTTCCTTGTGAGCTACCACAACCTTCAAGTGAAGAACTGATTTCCTTTTGGAGGGGGGCACCACATCTTTTCCTTTTATCCTGTGTGGTGCTTTTCATGTAGTAGATGCACAGTAACATACTTAGGGATTTGAGTTAGAGCTGAGGTATATTAGAAGCCAAGTTACTTGTGGGGTAGATGAGAAGGATGACTTGTCAAGATCTGGGTTCTAATCCTGATCAGGGCTTACTCCCTGTGTGACCTTGGGCACATCCTCTCTGGGCCTCAGTTTCTTCATTTACAAAATGAAGAAGTTGGACCAGATAGCCTCCGAGACCTTCTCCGTTTAATCTTTGATTTTATGAAGTGCGTTTTTACTTTTCTTTAAACAACTTAAATGTCTTCTGAAACATCACTGACAATAAGTGTTTGGTGTTTGTGTCATTTTCAAGTTTGGTTGAGAAAAGCAAGAGTATTGAGAACCCCTGAGCAGGTGATTCAGTCTTGTTCTTGATTCCAGGAAGCTCACTCAGGAAGAGTATGAAAGGCAAGAAAAGGAGCAGAAGCTCACTGCTGCAGATGAGAAGGTCAGCTTGGTTGCTGAAGAAGTGAAAACGTATAAGTGAGTTCAACTTCTAGAGTCTTCTTACAGAAATTGTTGCTTGGGGCTGTTAGGTGGCTCAGTGGATAGAGCTCCGGCCTTGGAGTCAGGAGGACCTGAGTTCACATCCAGCCTCAGATACTTGACATTTACTAGCTGTGTGATCCTGGGCAAGTCACTTAATCCTGATTGCCTCACCAAAAAGCAAAAAAAGAAAAAGTAGAAGAAGAAGAAGAGGAAACTGTTACTTGCCTTTTTTCTTTTTGATTTTTAAAATCTTTTATAGGCAGAGAATTCAGGAGATGGAGGATGAATTACAGAAAACAGAGAGGTCATATAAGAATCAGGTATTGATCTTATTACCCTTCATTCATATACTGTAGGATATTTAGTGCAGATAATGATGCCATTAAATAATCAAACTAGAAATTTTTGTTTTGTGCCTTTTAGATTGCTAGTCATGAGAAGAAGGCCCATGACAACTGGGTAAGAGGGTTCCTTTTGTTTCTTGAATGCAAAATCTTTTAAAAATGCTTTTACAGCTTCTGTTCATAATTTAATTTCTACCTTGATGTTATTTGGTCTGACTTTATTTCATTTTATTTTACAATAGCTCATTGCTCGTGCTGCAGAAAGGGCTCTTGCAGAGGAGAAGAGGGAAGCAGCCAACCTGAGACAGAAGTATGTATGTGATGACATTGACATCCACTTCTCAGGGTGGTGTTGTGTTTCTGAGTTATGATGTTGGTATTGTTAAATTACTTTATTTATTGTCTCATTTTCTAAACCCTCTTCAAGTCCATTGTCTTGCTTTATTAAAGATTAATAGAAGTGAATCAAAAGATTGCAATGCTCCAAAGACCAGTGATTGTAAAGCCAACTCCAGGAAGACCTGATCATCAGATTCCCCCACGGAGAGGTAAGGAGCATTTCATAAATCCCACCAATTTCTCTTTGAGAGATAATTAGTATGGAGGTCAAAGTCCATAGTCTGAATATTGTGATCTTCTTAATATAATCTTTAGCACTTAATAGAAAAAACTAGTTGCTATAGGATAGTGACGAGATAATGTCTTCTTCAGGGCCCCTCAGCCGAGACGGCTCTTTTGGTCCATCCCCTGTGAGTGGTGGCGCACCCTCCCCGCCACTGATGATGGAACCACCTGTACGGTCAGTCTCTGCTACTCTTAACCGGAGAGATGTACCTAGAAATGAATTTGGTAAGCAGGTGGCTTTTTTTCTGCAAAAAGCTGTGTTGACAACTTATTTCTTCCCTTTTAGGGATCTGTATGCAAATTACATGTTTGGAATTTTGTGTCTAAGAACTTTTTTAGAAAGCAGTCTCCCATTTTGGTTTGGTATACCACTATATATGATGGTAGAGTCTGTTATAGAACAGAATTTCTTTACTGGAGATTCCCTAAAGGTCATTACCCTGGACTAGGAATGATCATGAAATTACATGAAAATCTCATTTGAAAATACATGAATAAGTAAAATAATGTGAAACATTACATGACTGATACAGTTTGACTATAAATTTTATTCATTTTCCTATTTCTGATTTCTTCAACAACCCTTGTGTCAAGTGTCGACTTCCATTTGTGTATTTATTTTAAAATCCTCAGCCATATATGTAGAAGATAAAACTTCTGTTGACCTTCATAATGGCTCTGAATTCTGTTTTATATTTTTAATAAAATTCTTATTGCTCTCAGCATTTTATTTGAGGAACTGGGCTGTGTTAGATGTCAAGACTGGCTTTGGTTTTTTTAATTGGTAGACCCTTTTTTTAGGGCTTGACAATTAATGGAGTTAATCTAATATGCCTACATGGTGTTTCCCTGGCGTGATCATTTAAAGCTTGTTTCACCTCTTTCTTTCTCAAGGATCTGTGGATGGGCCTCCTCTTGGTCCTGGTCTGAGGAGGTCATCTGAAGTATCTGGAAGAACATCTGCCTCTGGTAAGGAAACTAGATTTATTAAGAGGAGTAAGAGCTAGAGAAGTAAATGACAAAATACTCCTTGATTTTTCTCATTCATAGAAGTTTAAATTAAGAATGTATATAAATGGATTATCTGTTCTATTAACAGATTTGGGCCCTGGTCCAGTCCCTTTGATGAATAGTGGCCCAAGAAGCTCTTCTCCCTCAACAGTGCTGGATGGCATGGTAAGGTCATAATCATTTCCTTTGGACTGTTTTAGGAAACATTTATATAATCCCCTCTACTTGCTTTATCTCTTAATTATATGTTCTGTTCTATTATATCTGTACTTTTTCATTAAAAAAAAAAAAAAGCAAACCCTTCCCCCAGAGGCTGAAGGCCCCTGTGCTCCTACTGTTCTACCATCAGCTGAGGATTCAGTGCCAGTAAGTATTTGGAGACTGAAAATGGAGCTGGGCTTTTACTTGCTACTTTTTGGGAAATCTGGGGAAAACTAAGGAGAAGCATGACACTACTTTTCAGTGCTTTAAATGCATGGCACATCTGGTTGACCTCTCACTTGGTTTTAGAGGATTGCTGTGTTAAACTGACTTTTCTTTGTTGCTGGATAGGAGACTAATTGCTTTTGGGCACTTGATGGTAGATGTCTTTAATGCAAAACAAAGTTACACAACTTTTGGGTCTGAAGCTGCTTGCTTCATATACAGTCTAGATTGCTTTTAGGCAAGTATGTGTATAGCAAATTAAAGTTTGCAAAGTAAATTGGTTGCATATAAGGACAACATCTCCATCCTGGGAGCTAGATATACTAAATATTAACAGTTTTACATTGGGCCTATCACTAAGAAGAACTTTGAAAATTAATCAACTGTAAGTTGGTGCATTCTGCTGTATTTACTCCTGTCCTTAATTCTGGTTTCCTTTCACTAGCAAGAAGTTTTGCTAGTTATTTGGTGTTGAATATTCTAAAACCATTATGCAGACAGTCCACAACTTATGAACAAGTTCTATTCTAAAAGTTCATTTCAGTCAGTTTGGTTCTTGGAATACATTTTCCCGTATTTCCTGTAATGGTAAGGTTCTCAAGCCACTTATGTCATAGGACTTCAGAAACTATCTAAACGGGGATGGGGGGAGCTTGAGGCCTTGAGCCCATGTGGCCTTCTAGGTCCTTGGTTGTGGCCTTTTGACTCAGTCCAAGTTTGAACAAATCCTTTTATTAAGGGGATTTGTTTTGTGAAGTTTGGATTCAGTCAAAGGGCTGCACTTGAGGACTTAGAGGGCCACATGTAGCCTTGAGGTCGAAGGTTCCCCACCCCTGAAAATAGGTACCTAAACAAGAAAACCCCTTTCATAGAATATCTAACAAGTAGTTAGCCAGGCTCTATTGAAGATCTCCAGTACGGTGGAACCCACCATCTCCCGAGGCAGCCCATTCTCATTTTGGTTACTTCTAATCTATTTATTTAAATTAGGCCTGTGGTTTTATTTGGGAGGGGACTGTGACAAATTCTCTCCAGTGTGGGTTGGCACTCTGCACCTCAAGTCTGAGAGAGCTGTTTCAGCACCAAGAATGATGCTTGCCCGGGGTGACATGGATTGAGAATGAACTACAGTTTTTTTGACTGTAAGACCTTGCTATTATTCACTTAGCTCTAATTTTGAAGAGGCTTTTTCTGACATCAGGCCTAAATTGGCCTCTTAGCAATTTCCACCCATTGTTCCTAGTTTTTTCTTCTGGGTGAAGTAGAAAAAATTGGATCTCTCTTCCATGTGACAACCCTAGTGGGGGCCATCTCCAGTCATCCTGATCTATATCTTGCCACTGGACCCAGGTGGCTCCTGAGGAGAAAGTGAGGCTGGTGACTTTGCATAGCCCTCCTTCACTTAAATCCAATTCATTTGCAAGTCATGGCAACACCTTCCTGATATCATGATCCTCTTCCAGAACAAAGGACAAATAACAACTAGTAAGTACATGAGTTCCCCCACCGGGGATCCAACTGGCCAGTTCCACTTGGTCAATGCAGCTCCTTCCTTCCTTCCTTCTTCTCCTCCCTCCCCTACGTCTGTCCACATAGAGTATCATACCCCCCCCCCCCTTACCTGTGGGTGCTCTGCCCAAAGGAATGTAAATTTTGATAGCTGAAACCTTGAAAGATATCTTGGGGTTTCCAGGCGAGGTTTCTTAAGGACAGTGCCTTAAATCCAATTCCATCTGGCTCTCATTGATTGGCCAACAATAGATCCCAGCCCGAGCCCCACTTAGTGGTTATTGTTTGGGCCCAGATGGCTCAGAGTGAATGTAAATAAATTCTCCTCCCAGATTGATTTTTTTTAATTAGGTAAAAGGGGCATTATTTGACTTATTTAATATAAATAAGCTTTGGCTTATTTCTTACCTAGCCTTAATCACTGAATGGACATTGCCTCAGTCAAACTGAGAACTTGGAAAGACCTTAGCTTCAAAAGACTAAGGTCTTCTACTGCATCCGGAGCCATCTCCAGTCATCCTAATCTGTATCTTGTCACTGGACCCAGGTGACTCTGGAGGAGAAAGTGAGGCTGGTGACTTTGCACAGCCCTCCTCACTTAAATCCAACTTATTTGCATGTCATGGTATCACCTCCCTGATGTCATGGTCCTCTTCCAGAATGAAGGATAAACAACAGCAAAAACTCTGGCAGCATAGAATAGAGGCCTGGAAGGGCCCTTAGAATCCAGTCCAATTTTCTCAGGTTATAGTTTAATGTTCTAACCAGTCAAAGTTTTTCAGCTGTGTCTTGTAATGCAAGTCAGGTAAAGATTCTTTATCCAAGCCATTGACAATAAGTGTTAATGTTAAATAGCAGAAGGACAAGCACTGAACTTTGATCACTCCACCAGAAACCTGACTGTTCTTTGAATCCAGCTAGTTAGCAATCCCAGTTCCCATCTAACAGTGCCATGGGTGGGCCCACATCTCTCCTTTCCCACAAGTATATCTTGAACTTAAACATTTGGTCACATACATACATACGTACACACACACACACACACACACAGAGTTTACCTAGATTTTAGCATTTCCCTAATGTAAAATTTAGTTACATCAGTCCGAAGAGGTAATAGTTTGACGTGATTTGTCCTTGCTGAAGCAACGATAGTTCATGATCACTACTTCCTTTTTCAGATGTTCATTAACCACAGTAGAAGTCTAACCTCTCTCTAATGCTCTTAATAGAACTTGTTTCCTTACCTTTCCTCAGCTGCCTTAGTGTGTTCTGATTCTAGGATTCCTGATCTTGTTCTGACAAGACTGTGACACGCCCCACTTTTATGTATTCATTCATTCTTACTCATCCTTGTTTCTATGTTATGTAAACATCTTTCTCAAATTTAAGTTGGTTGATTAGTTCCTTGTCTATCAGCACAGACTTCATAGACAGCTACCCCTTTTCTTCATTACTAGAGAATTGTTCCTATCCCCAGTAGAATTTCAGACCATTAGGATCTTTGTATTTTAAAGCCTTTGTGAGTATTGATTTACAAGACTCCAAGCAATTACTCGCCCTTGTTAGGTACGCTTAATCTCTGTTAGGTACTCTTAATCTTATCATTCCTTATATTTTAAACCATGGTCCAGAAATCCAAATTTCATCTTCAGACTCCATTTTCCTTAAAAAAAAAATACATAATATGCACACACACACATACATACATATATATAGTGTACATATATATGTTTACACATAAATATGCTTTTTATATATTTTGTTAAATATTTCCCAGTTATATGTAAAAAAAATTTAACATTCATTTTTTAAAATTTTGAGTCCCAAATTCGCTTCCCTCCCTCTGGTCCTTTCCCCACCAATTGAGAAGGCAAGCAATATGATACCGATTATACACATGAAGTCTGGTAAAACATATTCCCATATTAACCATGTTGCAAATGAAAACACATACACCCCCAAAAAAGAAAAACCTAGGAACGATAAACAAAGTGAAAAAGTATGCTTCAGTCTGTGTTTAGAGTTCATCAGTTTTCTCCTGGAGGAGGATAGCATTTTTCATCGTGGGTCAGACACCATTTTCTTACCCAACTATTCACTTCCTAAATCTACCTCTATTTTCTGAATCCCTTGCCTTCAGGAGATGGCAGTAATGAAAATACCTCCTACCCTAAGGTCTAAAGTTTCTTTAGCAATGCTTTCCAGCTCCTTTCTGGAAGCATTATTTGTACTTACATGAATGACCAAAATTGTCTGTACTATTTACCATGCTTAAGAAGTCTTGGGATATTTCTTAGATTATGTCTTAGATATATGCCCTGAGAAGATAACAGACCTTTCTATTGCTATTAGATTGTAAAATAGCTGTCTCAATATCCCTCAGCTGGGACCCAGACTTGCCTTTCTCCTCTGGCTCTTACCAGTCTTTCACTTGACAGCACTTATGGTCTCTTTAGGAAAAGGCTCTTAGTTGTCATTTCTCTTTCCTCTGCGTTGCACTCTTCTACACTCCAACTTCCTGACAGGTCAGTCCTTTCAAAAGTTGCTTTGTTTTTATATTGAAGACCTTCTGGTTGCTTTGTTTTTTTTCTCAGAATGCTCTGTTCTCCTTAGTAACCTTGAGAGTAAAGAGGTGTTTCTCAACTCCCTTTTTTTCTGGTGAGGAGAGACCATCTGTACTTTGCATATAATTTTTATTTTATTATGAAGTATCACAGTCTTTGAAGGCAAAGATTTACCTGGCTTTGTGTTCTTGGGAGTGAGATCCCCAGTCCTTATAATTCTCACCAGTGGCTTATCTGTAAAACTGCTTTAGCAAACTGTTTTGGGAGGTCTTCAGGTACAGATTTATTCCTTTCTTTTAAGCACATCAACACCTACACTCAGTTTCATTTTCCTTTCTAAGCCTTTGCACTCGTCTTAACCAGCCGTCTCATCTTTTCTCATCCTGGGTCCTTCACCTCCTTTAGCCATGTCCTCCTCAGATCGTCGCTCTTCTGGCCTGTTTGCCCTTCACCTTCAGTTTCTCTCAGATTTTCACTTAGCAGACTTCTAGACATCTCCCCATTTTCAAAGCCCTTCAGATTACCTTCAGTTTCATCTCCAGTTCAGGCCCTGTGTCCACAGAGCCTGGAAGCTGTCTAAAGTATAGAACTAATAATGGTACTATTTCAGCTGTATCTCATTATGATGTTTATAACATTTCACCGGGCAAATGCATCTCCAATTTCCAACTTAGGATTTCAATTTGAATTCTCCCCAAAAAGAATTCTCACTTTTTGACTGGGAAGGGAAATAGAGCAATCCACATATTTCTGGATACGAGTTACTTGGAAAAATTCGGTTAGCTTTTTTCGTGCATGTAGTCTTAAAATTATTATCTAGATATTCTGGACTGGGGAACAGCAGCAGTCGTTTCTGTCTGAGCAGGAGGGTTAGCTGTGACTTCATCTCTTTGTACTTTTATATAGCTCTTGTTCTTAAGCCAAGGACTGCCTGTATTATGTTGCTGCATTGTGTAGACTTGCATGAATATTTTATGTTTGATGCTACCGGTTACCTTTGCTGGTATGTTTATAATAATGGCATTGAAAAGAGTAGAGACAATTATTTATTACTTTACCTCTTAACTTGCCTAAACAACATGTGGTCCGATGGGAGCAATTTGTTGGAGATAATAACAGAAAACTGCAGCGGCAATGACTGTGCTCCTTTCAAAACTAGTTGGAGGGGAAAGGTGCCAAAGTAGCAAGCTGCTTCTCTCCAGGAAATAACTATCTTTTATCTGTCACTGGGTTTATGGTTTCATCTTTTTGGTTGGTGCTTGTGGTCTGTCATGTCATAAAGCAAATATTAGTTTAAAATTTGTACTTGTGTTCTAACAGGTTAACACTGGTCCCAAAGGCCACCCACCATTCCCAGGAATGCCCCTCATGTCACCACTAGGAGGACTTGCACCACCACCTCTTCGGTTTGGACCACCTCCTCCACGAGGCCCTTATGGGCCTCGACCTCTTCCTCCACCTCTCGGTATGGTGCCGTTGCATGTGGATTGATAATTGACTGGCAAGGCTTGTATTGTTCTTATTTTTAAATATTCAGCAGAGAATGGGTGAGGAGAAATTATCCTGACTGTCCTTCGTGCCTAGAATTCTCTTTCTCATCTCTATTCTCCTGGTTTTCCTGACTTTCTCTCAAGTCTCAACTAAAATTCCATCTTTCATAGGAAGCCTTTCCCAACCCCTCTTAATTATAGTGCCTTCTCTCTGTTGATTATTGATTTCCTATTAATAGTACCTTCCCTCTGTTGATTATTA